CAGACAGCAACTTGCATTCGCTGTATAATAATTTTGTTGAGTACCTATAAGGTTTGAAAGTCATAGTTTTTAGTAAACATCTTTGTGCTCTTTTGAGCTTAATTAAAAAACTTTTGCACGATCCTCCCCAGACACTTATGCAATAGCCTATAATTGATTGTGCTAAAGTAAAGTATACTGTGCGCAATAAATCAAAATCAGCAATGTGTCTTAGCTTTTTAAATGTCCAAATAAGTATACGAGTCCGGGATGAAATAAGATCAATGTGTGGGAGCCAGCTAAGTTTTTCGTCTAACAACACACCGAGGTATTTTACAGTTTTACATCTAGTTATATTAAGGCAAGAGCATTTGTCTGTTGACTTTAGATCACAAAAATGTACTTTCAGTTCAATATCCTCAACAGCTGGAGTATTGGTAATACGGAACTGTAAGTACGTTGATTTAGATACGTTTAGTGTTAGTAAATTGTCCTCAAGCCATTGTACCACACATTGGAGACCCCTTTCAGCAATCATCTGAACGTCAGCCCAAGTCTCTCCATAAAATATTATAGCCGTATCATCGGCATAAGTGAATAATTTGCCATGTATTAATGGCATACGACAAAAGTCATTAATATAAATTAAAAAGAGACTTGGCCCTAGGATACTTCCTTGAGGGACACCAAAAGTGACACTAGTATCAGAACTGATGAAATTTTTAATCTTAACTCTCTGCACTCGGTGACTTAAGAAGCTTTTAAAAATAGAAAGGGCCGAATTTCTAATTCCGATATTTTCCAATTTGTGTACAAGAATGGGAATCGAGACGGTGTCGAAAGCCTTTGATAATCAAGAAAAACACCCAAACATTTTTTTTGTTTGTCCAACTTATTGGTTACAAATTCTGTCAAGCCTTTTACCGCAACTTCTGTGCTATTACCCGTTCTGAAACCGAATTGCGTGCTTGATAGAATATTGTATTTGGTCAGGAATTTTACCAAACGGTTATTCAACAACCTTTCCAATATTTTCGAAAGAGCTGGCAGCACAGAGATAGGTCTGTAGTTTTCGACACTGTCTCGAGCTCCACTCTTGTATACAGGAGTAATGAGAGACCTTTTAAACACCTTTGGAAAGCATCCTTGTTCAAAACAAATTTTAAAGAGATTGGTAAGCGGTAATATAATTATATCTTTTATCATTTTAAGAAAAACGGCAGAGATAGAATCCCACCCAACAGCATCATTTTTAAGACTTAACAAAGTAGATTCTACCTCCGTCTCGTCAGGTGGATAGAGCACAAATGAGTTAAGAGATCTGTGGGTCGAACTTGTAACTGTACGTTGACCACGATTTTCAATTATTTTATCTGCTAATTTTTTACCTAGATTAGAAAAATAATGATTCGCTCTCTCAACTGAAACCGTAGGATTTTCCCTAATTAGATTATCAGCGTAATTATTTATATTATTACGTCCTGAGATAGATTTAATGACAGACCAAGTTTCTTTACTGCTTTTGGCACTCTTTAAAAGATGTGTTTCATGTTGGCGCCTGAGCTTTCCTAACAATGAATTACAAAAATTCCTGTATCGTTTGTAAGAAATTTCTAGTATCTCATTATCAGGGTTTTTTTTAAGATTTTGGTGTAGTTTATCACGGTGGCGGATGCATTTGATCAATCCAGGCGTCATCCATGCTTTAAGAGTACGTCTAGATCTAGGTAGCTTAATTTTTGTTGTGTTATTTTTTACAGCCGATGATAATATGTTGACGAATTCATGAGCTGCTATGTCTGCATTACAAGTAGGAGATATGAATGAAAAATCTACTGCTTCAACTGATTTTATGGCGTTTTTATAGTTAATTTTATCAATGAAAATATTATCAGGCTTACGTTTGGAATCTAAAGATAGATGGGTAAGAATTAAGGCGTGGTCTGTGATAGTACTATCCATGACTATTATTTTGGTGTTTAATATCGTTTTGGTCATTACATGATCTAAGCAATTTTTTATGCGTGTGGGGTAAGTGTGACCAGGCAAGAGACCCAACCAGCAGCTAGATTTAAATATGGTTCACTATGTTTATCCTCATTGCCTTCTATAATGTTAATATTGATATCGCCAATAAGAAAGATGTTTTTAGCCTTTATTGGTCGAATAATACTTTCTAGGGTATTTAGAAAACTATCAATATAGTAAAACGACGGAGACCTATATACCGCTAAAATGACTATATCTGGGTTAATTTTAATTAATAGATAATTAGCACCCGTTGGTTCAGGTTCTGTAATTATGCAATCAAAACTATGCTTGGTATAAACGGTTATACCGTCGTTTTGATTAAGACATTTTTTTGAAAAATGGCATTTATAACCCGGAAGACGTGGAACGGGCTTATTCAATTCTAGGCGACATTCGGTTAAAATTATTATATCCGGTTCAAAAGATAGTTGCGATATGTATGCCATAAAGCCATCAATGTTTTTGTATACACTACGTATGTTTTGCGCAATAATATTAATGGACATATTAGATACCTTTACTAAGTTATTGCACTCTAAAGCATCACAAATATAAGATGAAGCAACAGTGATATTATCGATGTCCGATACAATAGTATTCTGTAGTTCTATCGTTTTGAGATAAAGAAAACGTCATTGTCGCAACTATGGGCTTTTAAAATAATCATTTTTATATCTATGTACTTATACAGAAAATCTATTAAGCGAATTTTAAAATGAACAATAGTGTAATGTGATTTTATGTATACATTAATATTATTAACTATAAAATATATATAATATATTAATACACATATTATATAATTATACATTATAAAATATATATAAATATGATATAAAATAATAAATTTTACAATTTTAGAGTTCATGCATGACACAAATTAAAACAGTATAAGAAAAAAGATCCCAAAATTTAAGCCGGGAATATCTCCACGCTGTAGTCATTTTTGGTTTCTCAACTTGGCTAAGTCAGATTCGGAATCAACTCTGATGTGTGGTTTACCCTCATCTTGATGCAGGTACGTCCTTCCAAAAGAAGTCCAGCAAAACTTATATCCGTGCTCCTGCGCAAATATTCGGGCTAAATAGTTAAGGCGCCTTGCTTTCTGCGTTAAATGTTCTGAGATAAAAACTGGTTTCTTTGGACCTTCTATAGAGAGGTGTGAAGTATTAAATGTATCCGCGTAGTTTTTTGTGTTATATTTGCGCTCATTTTTTAATATTATTTCTTTCTTTAGTGTAGTACTCAAGTCGACAATGATATTTACACTTCCAGTTTTATTCTTGGTGCGATATATGTCTTTTATTTCTTGCTGTTCGAGAGGAACTTCCAGGACGTTAGCCGTTTTTAATACAATTTTACATAAACTTTCTTTAGTTACACTAGTAGCCGCCGGGATATTACGTAATTCAATCTTCGATGAGCCGGCCGTGGTCAGCAGCTAGCCCTCCGACGTCTGCGGCGTTCCATTACCAAATCGTCTCTGGTCCGTCTCCAGCTGGCGTTGACTTCGGGTACGGATACCCTCCATGTCGTCCTTTGGTAAAATCGGCATGATTTGATCCCACTTCTGACACCAATTGTTACGAGCTTGGGGTTCGAGACAATTAAAAACTGCCGATTGAATTACCTAAATTGACACTTTAATTACACAACACTAATTACAATAAACCACACTAATAATAAAACACAATCACTTTAGCTCGCAGTTATTTCGCTTCGAAGTATTCTCTTGTATCGCCAATTCAATACTGCCTTCGTCGTGGTCTATACTGGCTTTATATAGGGCCTCAGATAGTTTCCAGAACCTTCTACTGTAGCGACATCTAGAATGTTCGAGTACATATCGGCATTGAGATATAATGTAATACGTACGTAGGTCATATCGGTCCCGAAATTTCTGGAAGGATCTTGACTCTCCTAGTTCTGCTACTCGACACTAGAGGGCGCTAGTGTAACTAGTGTTGCCATGTACAAGACATTAATAGTGGCGCGCAACAGTATTGTTTTTTTAAATAGCTACCTAGCTGGTACCCGGCGTGTTGCTGCCGCAGAGTAAATATTTGTGGAGATATCGTTTTAAATTTGGAAGGGTTATATTGTTTAATTAGGATTGATTTTACGTTCATTGAAATTTAATTAAATAATATGACTTTCAAATAAATTTGTCGGTACGATACGCGCGCCAACTTCTGTATTTGAATTGTACTATGCCTATAACCTTTACGCAAGTGCAAACAATAAGTTGACAAAGATTTACCGCAATCTGATAACCGGTATGGCAGCGCATAGACTACCATCAAACAAATTTAATTTTTATATATTAAATAAGAGTGATAAACGGCGCACTGTCCACCTGATGGTAAGTGGATGCTGTAGCCCATAGACATTTACATCTATCCTCGATTAAGAATCAAAATGCACATGTGTTGTCACTTTTCACCCATGAGGACTAAGATGACTTGTTACTAGTAAAAAGGGTCTCCGGTTCTCTGTTTGATATCCGGTATTTTGAATAGTATAAGCTTTATTTATATTTTTTGTTTGCCGTCAACGGGGTGGTTGGCAACTGCTTAGTGTGAATATGCCCTTAGTAGACGAACTCGTTGCCTATCAGTATACCTTCTTCTACGTCTAAAGTCCTGGGTTTTAATTCCAACTGGAGCTAATATTTGTGGAAATTCATAAATTATAATTTATATATTTATTAATATTGATTTTTAAGTATCATTGTTTTGTGATCGCTATCCCTTTCTCTCGCCTGGGGCCTAGTTTAACCTAAAGACAAAGTACGCAAAAACGTACCTATAGGCCTTGCGGTCTCAAAAACAGCAATTTTTACGTGATCTAGGAAGTTTAAAAAAGGGAGCCTTACATGCCTCGTAAGGTCATTCTACCTACTAGGAGGGCGCCGAGTCTATACAATGTTGCCATTCATAAATAAAACCATCAAAATTTCTTAAATCCCTTTATTAATATATCTTTTAAAGGATTCTTCAAAAGGAGTTGAAAGATTGGCGGGAAAACTTATATCAAATTTTATTGACGCCAGAACATAATAATCACGACAATTCAGAAGACAGTGGTTCAAGCCCCTCCACTCCAAACTATACACCAATAAGCCCTCCCCAGCCTGCCGATTCCGAACGATCAATTATTGAACAACTGGTAAGATATCTTAGATTCACTTGAAAATTTTATTTACATTATATTAGAGAAAGTTTTATATCCAAATAAATTATAATTATATTGTCGTTCGTACTGGAGACCTATTTTACTGGAAACGAGGCATTCCATCTTAGTCCTCAGGGGTGACAACTCATCTGTATTTTTATTCACAATCGAGGATAAACGTTTAATGTCTATGGGCCACAGCCACAGAGTACTTTTTATATTGGCCCCAGCATCCACTTATCATCAGGTGGACTGAGTGCTCGTTGTCCCCATATTCTATAAAAAAAAAAAAACTTTCTGAAAATATTACCAAAAGTAGTTTAACCTTTTCGTATTCTACAGAGATAATAAGTATTATTCTTTCGTAGAGATTTGTGTTTTTATTAACAATGAAAGCAGATTTCTCATAATTATATTTTTCTATTCTTCACCAAGATAAAGTCAGCCGAAATTAACAAACAAATTAAAGATGGCAATTTCAATGGGTCGTTCGAAAAGGCGCTGTCTTCGTCCGATTTATCGTTAGTTATGGCGGCATGTCGAGCGGCGGATCCTGTGAAGGTTTTTTCACCGCCTTGCAAATTACGTCAGGCAGTGTTGCTATCACTTATACAACAACTGGCAACCGATATGGTTCACGATACGCAATTAAAGTGCAGGTAAAAGTAATTAAAGTGCACTAAAATTTTAGCTATCAGCCACACATTCAATTCATTCATTTCAAAGAATAAATTGAATGTGTGCTGGCCGTATGAGGAAGCTCAAGCTATGAGAGAGCTAGAGGTTTTTTTGCGTGATAAACTTAGATATTAGGATATGCACAGTAGAACCAGAATAATTGAAATAGCCCAACGGTTTAGTAGGCTGAAATGGCATATAGCTCTAAGAACTGACAACCGAAGGGGAAGAAAGTTTCTGGAGTAGCAGCCTCGTACCGGTAGGCGAAGTGAAGGGCGGCTCCCCACTAGATGGTAAGACATGCGGGAAGTCGATGGATGCAGGTGGTCCAGGACTTTGAGGCGTTTCTTGACCTATGTTCACATTCAATTCACATCATCAATATTTTTTGTTCTTTAAAACACTTAACTTCACACTAGGATTTTCACATGTATCATAGAGGTTTTTTTCATAGATGAATTGCATATGGACAAGCATCCAGATCCGGAACTTTTATTGTAGTTGTAGGCTATACAAACACTTCTTCCGTGCGGGATTCAAACCAACGATCCCGCAACGCCATAGCTAAACCCTTAGACCTCTGAGCTACCAGGCCATCAAATTTTATATATTATGATTAGGCAGAGAACAATTAATTACCTTATATAATCACAAAATTGTTTAGCCATGTAAATTAGCATATTTTGTTAAAATTTATCAAGAAAAATCAGGTTTTTTTTTTGTTTTCTAATATATTTTTCTCATTACAGATACCTTGAAGAGGCTATAATAAATTTAAATCCTTTAGACTCTGTTACCCGTAGTCATTTACCTATGGTTGTTGCTGAAGTTCGCAAACATCTCACGATTTTTTTATTGTCTTATCCATGTCACGTAGCGAGTAGAAGAGTTACATTAATTATTATGGCAGCTGATTATTTACTTAAATGAAAATGTACAATTAATGTACAATTAATACGCATGTATTGCTTTTTTTTTTTCTTATTAAAACCTAATAAGTTGAAGTACCTACTATTTTTTTTTATTTTAAAGACCTGAATCATGAATGGAATATTATTCACCTTATCAGCAGAGCCAGTTGACAAGGGGGGAGTAGATGTACTAATATATCTGAGACTGGTTGGTACGCTAGTCCTTCTTATTAGTTTGTGGTGATGGTAGTCATTACCATAGACTAATGCCCAATTTCACCGACATCCCCTAAACAATCACATAGTTAGACGACCGCTAAGCTAAAAGGTCCCCTAAACCAACCCATAACTAAAATTTGTTTTCACGAACGCAACGGACTTATAGCTAGGGGACCCTTCCTTATGTGACCGATTTTTTACGACGATAGTGCTTGATACCCAGTTGTAGTTACCGGTTTTATCGGAAATGATATATATTAATACAAAAAATACGTATTCATGTATTATTTTAATGAAGAAATTAGTTCTTTCATATTTTGACTGATATATGTTTTCATTTTGTTAATATTTTAATAAAAATATCATATTTTTAGTTTATGTTTGACAAGTCACCGTATTTGACACTCAGCTTTATCTGTGCATTGACTGTTTGACATTTGTCTCTGCAAGTCACAGCTGCAAGTTTTCGTGGTGTTTTCGTTTGGTATCTCGTTTCTAACTTTTTATTTTATAATTATGGCCGAAAATAAGAGAAAGCGGTGTCAAAATTTCACGTTTGATGAAAAGGATAAACTTGTAAAGTTAATGAATACTTTTAAAAATGTTATATTAAATAAAAAGACGGACGGTACAACAAATCAAGCGAAGAATGAAGCGTGGGTGAATTTGTGCACAAGATTTAATTCCACAGGAACCACGGCTAGGTAAGTTATTGATAAAAATAAACCTTTTGTTTAGTACTTGTTATAGTTGTTTTAAAGTTAAGTTGCCTTTACATCCAAACTTTATAGCTGTAAATAGTTATTGTCATAATTATTATCTTGATTTTGTATAATATGTAATGTGTGTATTAAAGAGTTTCTATTTACTTACTTGAATGAGAAGTTACCTACCTAATACCTGTATTCTCAGTACATTAACCTCTTTATCTACTATGATGAACGTACTGAATTGCCTTTTAATAACCTACCACTAACATTTCAGAAGTAAAGAATCTCTTATGAGAGTCTGGGAGAAAATGAAGACTGATGCGAAGTTATACAAAGCACTTAGCAAAAGCAGTCACAATGGCACAGGAGGTGGCCCATCGTGTGTTAAAACAGATATAATTTTGGAACAAGTCAGTGACTTGATGGGCCGAGCATGTACAGGCATAACTGATGTCCAGGATTCAGATGCTGACCAAATTACTGAAGCCAGTTCATTACCAATACTTGGTGATGAGACAATGGAAATTTTAATATTTCAAAATGAAAATGTTAGTATTTATAGAATTCTCTATTATGTAGGTATATTAAAATTAGAAACTGACTGACAAATAGTCCAAATGCCGTAGTAGAAATCAGGGCAATAAGTTTGTTACATATTATAATATTATATAAAAGTAAGTTATGTATATTATTGTGTTTGTTTAAGGAGATGCTTTCGTTCCTACCAGTGGTTCAATAGAGGGCTAGACAGAGAAACACTACGGGGCGACAACAACAAAATGAACTAAACTGGCAGAATTTTCAATACAAAATTATTTCAGTCATTTGTATAGGTGTCGACCCACTGTATGATTATATTATATTTACACTGTGATTTTTATATTAGAATTTGTTTTGTTACAATTTTAGTGCAATACAAGAAATGTGGAAAATATTGAAAATAACAATGTTGGGAATAATAACCTCTAAACAGTGTGACTAATGTTTCCGCCATTTTGCGTATCTGTGATGCCGACCGTCGGCAAGCGCACAGACAGGGATATTATAAGCATATGTTTTTTTTAAAGTTGGATTTCCTCGATTTTTTTAAAGGAATGCTGTACGCTTACAATTAAAATATTGGTTTTAATTACCTATTTTGTATATATCTTTACATATTTAGCATATTGGTAGTTATTTGCCATAGAAACATTACTACTTAATATGGGGTACAGAAAATTTTATTGTATTTCTTGATAATTTGTATAAAATAAAACAATAATTAAACTGAAACTAATTTTAATTAACACATTACATATCTAAGTTTACAATACAAACCAAAATTAACAAGGTCCTATACATTTTTTTCACACAACACATGTTTACAAAGTTGACACAAAAAATACTTCCACTTAAAGTAAACAAAAAAGGGTCTCACATTTCTTGTTATCTAAAATGACCCTGAGCGAATGGGACAAAGACCTTTTGTTTGCAGCAACTTAAGCTTATAAGCTACAAATATAAATAAAAGAATCATGTTACATTCAATATAAATTTGAGTATGAGTGGAACAAAGATGGTATGTAATTTGACACCAAAATTAGTACCTCTAAAAACATGTCTATTTTGGATAATATCTACTTACAAATGGAAAAGAAATTATTGTTTCAAGATATACATTAAATTTAGTAATCAATTAAACAAAAAAAACAAGTTGTTTCTAAGAAATATTTCAAACATCAAGCTCATGAAAGTAGTAAATATCTAAACATTTTAGCCTCATACATGCTAGCAAAGTGTGGATACGACTTGTCTTCAACAAGATAATGACTAGGTGATTTTTGTAACCCTCATTATTTTGAAACATTATAGTAAACATAACGGGTCTAATAATGACAATCACTTGGGATACTACTTAATATGACATAATTTTTAAATCATGCTTTGTTCACGAATCACAGCAAGAGGTAAAATGAACCGGCGGCTTGTAGGTTGAAGGTGAAGGTTTAGGCAGCATGTTGATACCCAAGCATGGTTGGTCATAATTTACCATTGTTCGATATGTACAAATATGTACAATATACACATAATATATGTATATATATGTACATGGCTACCGATCATGGACATATATATACATATGTTACAAAATGCCAAGGAAACGTACTGAAAATTAATTTTTCTTTTTAATTATTTTTTCTTTTATTTTTTTATTGATTCTTTATTTTATTTTTTATTTATTTATATTCTTAATTTTATTTTATTTTTTTATTGATTCTTAATAATTTATTTTCTTCTTTTAGAATTACTTCCTCGTCATCTTCGTCGCGTCCTCTAAGGGATATTGAAATATCCAACGCCCTTAATTATGGTAAGGGAAAATAGTTTTGCTTTAGCTGCTAATAAAAATACAAATAAAACCCGTACTGTGTTCTATAAACATCAGCTCTCATGTTACTGATTCTGTTACATAAGTAGTAACTTAATACAGTCAATTATTTTTAGAATAATTGACTGTATTAAGTTACTACTTATGTAACAGATTATTTTAAAAAAAACGTAAATTATTACAGTCGGCCAATGTGGTTATTTTATCTTATATTTTACAGGCAGCGACGAGGACTCCGAAGAAGATGGCGAAGAAGAAATTGGACTCCAATCCACCATAGTCCCCAGGGTGGTACAAATGTTCGCGGCATCGGAGGATGAGGGTGAAGGTGGGGAAGTAGACGCATTTATTTCTTTTTCCTGGCCTCCGACATCCAATGATCACCCACCTGTCCCTAACTCTTCCGGTCCCATTCCTTCCACATCCCATGTTCCTGATTATTCTGTTCCGCCTTCCTTACCTACCCATACTCCCTCGTCCCCATCCTGTCCCATGTCGGAGCCAGGAAATAAATTTGATTTTAAATGGAGGGGGTTCCCGCAACCTCAAACTCCTCCTGAGCTGAGGAGGGAACCGTTCTCCCAGATAAACTGTGGGCCCACGGTTCCATATGCGAGCCCATATGACGCATTTACTGCCATATGGGATCGCGATATAATGGAACACATTGCCATGGAGACGAATCGATATGCACAACAGCTTGCAACGGTCATGCTGGTGGACGGTTCGCTCTGTCCGAGCAGCCGCATCACCAAATGGAAAGACACCGACGTAAGTGAATTGCACGTGTATTTCGCTATAATCCTCGCTACCGGGATTGTGGTGAAATCACGTCTCGAGGAGTACTGGAACAGCACGCTGGACATTTTCAGTACCCCCGGGTTCACTGCGGCGATGACGTATGACCGCTTCATGCTGTTGAGCAAATGTCTCCACTTTCAGGATAATGACGGTTGCGATCCTGAACTGATGACACGGGCTCAGGCCAAGTTGTTTAAGGTGCAGCCAATTTTGGATCACCTTAACAACAAATTCCAACAATTATATGTTTTGGGTCAAAACGTGTCTGTGGATGAAAGTCTGACCATGTGGAAGGGTTGGTTAGATATTAACCAATTCATCCGCAACAAAGCAGCTACAGTAGGAATTAAAACATACGAGGTGTGTGAGTCCCAGACTGGTTACTTGTGACGCTTTGAAGTCCACGCAGGCCATGATACCTCCTCAGACCCACAAGAGGACAGTCCAGTTTCTGGGAAAGTGCCAGCTCTTGTGCTCAGACTTTTAAATGGTCTTGAGCATAAGGGCCACACGATTTGGATGGATAATTTCTACAATTCTCCCGCGCTTGCGCGAGAATTGAAAGTTCGGGGGTTTGACTGCGTGGGGACCTTACGAACGAATCGTCAGTTTGTTCCCATTGAGCTGACGAATCTTACGAAAAAAGACATGGCGATAGGTCAGGTGAACGGTTGCACTTCGGGGGATGTGGACCTCATCGTATACCGGGACAAAAACCGTGTGGCATTTGTCTCGACATACCATGGGCTAGCAACCGCGATGTGCGGCGATACACACAAGCCCACCGTCATACCAGACTATAATGTCTGTATGGGGGGGGTTGATCGCAAAGACCAGATGCTCGCCATGTACCCCATTGAAAGAAGGCGGAACAAAATCTGGTACAAAAAGTTTTTCAGGAAGCTCTTGAATGCTAGTGTT